CTCCCCCAGTTTGGGGAAGTTTTCAGCAATTATTTCTTCAAAGACACTTTCTATCCCTTTTCCTCTTTCTTCCTCTTCTGGTATCCCTATAATACGAATGTTTTTCCTTTTGTATTGGTCACATATTTCTCTTAGTGTTGTTTCATTCCTGGAGATCCTTTTATCTCTCTCTATGTCAGCTTCTATACGTTCCTGTTCTCTGGCTTCTATTCCTTCAATGGCCTCTTGCATCTTATCCATTCTGCTTATAAATCCTTCCAGGGATTGTTTCACTTCTGTGATCTCTTTCCTGACATCTGTGATCTCCTTCCGGACTTCATCCCACTGCTCTTGCATTTTTCTCTGCATCTCATCCCACTGCTCTTGCATTTTTCTCTGCATCTCATCCCATTGCTCTTGCATTTTTTTCTGCATCTCTGTCAGCATGTTCATGATTTTTATTTTGAATTCTTTTTCAGGAGGACTAGTTAGGTCTGTCTCCTTCTCAGGTGTTGTCTCTGTGATCTTTGTCTGCCTGTAGTTTTGCCTTTTCATGGTGATAGAGATAGTTTGCAGAGCTGGTACAAGTGACCGCTGGAAGAGCTTCCCTTCTTGTTGGTTTGTAGCCTTTTCCTGGGAGAATAGCGACCTCTAGTGGCTTGTGCTGGGCAGCTGTGCGCAGACAGGGCTTCTGCTTCCTGCCCAGTTGCTTTGGGGTTTATCTCCGCTGTTGCTGTGGGCTTGGCCTGGCTGGGGCTGTTCCTCCAAAATGGTGGAGCCCCGTTGGAGGGGGAGCAGCCAGGAGACTATTTATCTCCGTAAGGGGCCTCTGTGCTCCCTGCTGCCCAGGGGGTTAGAGTGCCCAGAGATCCCCAGATTCCCTGCTTCTGGTCTAAGTGACCTGTCCTGCCCCTTTAAGATTTCCAAAAAGCACTCTCCAAACCAAAACAACAACAGCAACAATGAGAGAGGGAACAGAAAGGAAAAAAAAAAGAAAAAACACGCGATTTTTTTTTTTTTTTCCCCAGGTGCCGGTCCCAGGCACCCGCGCACTGGTCCTGCTGCCCTGTCTCCCTAGCACCAGGGTCCCTGTCCTTTCAAGGCTTCCAAAAAGCACCCACCCACCGGTCCCGCAGGGAAGGAACGCTCAATATTCTTTGTCCTCAGGCACTGGTCCCACGCACCCGCTCACCAGTCCCGCCGCCCTGCCTCCCTAGCACCGGGGTCCCTGTCCCTTCAAGGCTTCCAAAAAGCACTCGGCAAAAAGAGAGAAAAAAAAGGGGAAAAACGCGCGATTTCTTCCGTCCTCAGGTGCTGGTCTCAGGCACCCACCCACCGGTCCCACAGGGAAAAATGCGGGATATTCTTTGTCCTCAGGTGCCGGTCCCAGGCACCCGCTCACCAGTCCCGCCGCCCTGCCTCCCTAGCACCGGGGTCCCTGTCCCTTTTAGGCTTCCAAAAAGCACTCGCAGAAAAGAGAAAAAAAAAAGGGGAAAAACGCGCGATTTCCTCTGTCCTCAAGTGCCGGTCTCAGGCACCCGCCCACCGGTCCCGCAGGGAAAAACGGGGGATATTCTTTGTCCTCAGGCGCCGGTCCCAGCCACCCGCTCACCAGTCCCGCCACCGTGCCTCCCTAGCACTGGGGTCCCCGTCCCTTCAAGGCTTCCAAAAAGCGCTCGCCAAAAAGAGAAAAAAAAAAAAAGGGGAAAAACGCGCGACCTCCTCCGTCCTCAGGCACCGGTCTCAGGCACCCGCCCCCAGGTCTCGCAGGGAGAAACGCGGGATATTCTTTGTCCTCCGGCGCCGTTCCCAGGCACCTCCTCACCGGTCCCGCCACCCTGCCTCCCCAGCAACGGGGGCCCGTCCCTCTAAGGCTTCCAAAAAGCGCTCGCCAAAAAAAAAAAATGCTCCGGTTTCTTTCCACCCGCCGGGAGCCGGGGGGAGGGGCGCTCGGGTCCCCCTGGGCCGGGGCTTGTATCTTACCCCCTTCACAAGGCGCTGGGTTCTTGCAGGTGTGGATGTGGTCTGGATTTTGTCCTGTGTCCTGTCGTCTCTATTTTAGGAAGATTTTTCTTTTTTATATTTTCATAGCTCTATGTGTTTTGGGGAGGAGATTTCCACTGCTCTACTCACGCCACCATCTTGGCTTCCTCTGCCAGGTTCTTTTTAGTGGGAAATTGTATCCTCTCCTGCCTGGAGCCATAACAATCATCATCATCATCATTAGCTTTCCATGGACATACCTTGTTCTGTGAATCTTCTCAAGATCAACCTGAAGTAGACATTATTCCCACTTTTAGAATGAGAGACTAGGTGATCTGCCCTAGGTCACACAAGATGTAGTCAGTGTTGCAAGATTTGTAAATAAGGCAGCCTGATTTCAAAACCCATGCTTCCAAGCCCTTGCTGTTTCCACAGAGGCAGCTGATGTCATACCCAATTCCTTTTTGCTAAGGAGCTGGTGTTAATGCTTAACTGGCATGGATTAAAAGGTAGTTCTAGTCCAACTGTGTTTTTAATCTGGGTAGAGCATTCTGTTATTGTGTATTGTGTGTGCTCTTATATTATGTAATGATTATGTTGTTTTTTTCTTTCCAGGACTGATAACTAAATCTTAGCTTTCCTTTTGTCATTATTCAAGACAAAAATTTAAATAATGTGACTTTTTCTACTTTTTATAAAAAGAAGCTTTGTTGAGATTAAAGTGTACAAAATACACTGCACATATTAAAAGCATCCAAGTTAATAGATCTTAATATATGAATATACTTGTGAAAAATTAGCAGTACCATGAGAATAATGAACATATTCATCACCCTCAGAACTTTCCCTGGGCCCTATTGTAATCCCCATCCAACCCCTCCCATCCCTCCTCATTAAATAACCCCTCATGAGCTCTGTCACTCCAGATTAGTTTGCATTTTCTAGACTTTTATACAGTTGACATCATACAGTGTATACTTCTTTTTTTGTCTGACATTTTAACTTGGCGTAACTGAGATACATCCATGTTGTTGGATATATAATAATTTATCTTTTTATTGTATAATATTCCATTGTGTGGATACAGTACATCCTCACCAACACTTGGTATGATCAGAAATTTTTCCTTAATTTTAGCCATGTTAATAGGTTTGTATTTTATCTTATCATGGTTTTTGTTCATGTTTCCTTAATGGCTAACAATACTAAGCATATTTTCATGTATTTATTTGCTACTTGTATTTCCTTTTTGGTGAAGTCTTAATTCAAATCTTTTCCTCCCTTTTTATTGGGTTTATTTTGCTATCATTGAGTGTTAAGAGTTCTTTATATACTCTGAGTATATACATTTATTGGGAGGAAAATTTACAAATATCGTATCCCAGTCTATTTTTTTTGTCTTTTCATTCTCAACACTGCCTTTGTAATTTCATTTCAGATTGTTATTGCTAGGGTATCAAAATACAGTAGATTAAAAAAAATGATCTTATATCCTGTAACTTTGCTGAGCCTGTTTATTAGTTCTAGTCATTTTTTTTGTCCCTCTTGATTCTTTAGGATTTACTATATAAAAGATCATGTCATCTACTAATAGAGATAGTTGAACCTCTTCCTTTCCAGTCTTGTTGCTTTTACTTCTTTTTGTCTAATATCCCTGACTAGAAACCCCAGTGCAGTGCTGAATAGAAGAGGTGAGAGTGAACACCCTCAGCTTGCTCCTGGTCTTAGGGAGAATATATTCAGTTTTTTTACCACTAAGTATGATATCAGCTGTGGGTTTTTGTTCTTGTCTGTGCTCCTTATTGGGTTGAAGAATTCCTTTCTATTCCTGCTTTGTTGAGAATATTTTTTACCATGAGAATGTGTTGGATTTTGTCAAATGCTTTTGTTATATCTACTGAGGACATCCTACAGTTTTTGTCCTTTATTCTATTAGTATGGTGTATTACATTGATTGATATGTGTATATTAAACTAACCTTGTATTCCTGGCATAAGTATCACTTAGTATAAGTGTAATCTTTTTTTATGTTTCTGGGTTCCTTGTGCTAATATTTGGTTGAAGACTTTTGCATCTGTATTCATTAGGGATCTTCATCTTTTGTTTTTTTTTCTTATGATGTCTTTGTGTGGTTTTGGTATTAGGATAATAGTGGCCTAATAAAGTGATTTGGGAGTGCTCCCTCTACTTCTCTTTTTTTTTGGAAAACTTTTAAAAGTATTGGTGTTAATTCTTTAAATATTTTGTCAAATTTATTAGTGAAGCCTGGTATTTTCTTTGTGGGAGATTTTTTTTTATCAATTCAATCTTTTTTACTTGTCATATGTCTGCTGAGAATTTCTATTTGTTCCTTAGTTAGTTTAGGTAGTTTTTGTGTTTCCAGGAATTTGTCCATTTAATCTAGGTTATCCAGTTTGTTGACACACAGTTGTTGATGGTATTCTCTTATAATCCTTTTTTATTTCTATAACATTGATAGTAATGCCCACTTTTTCATTTCTGATTTTAGTAATGTGTATCTTCTCTCTTTTTCGCTTGGGTAAGTCTAGCTAAAGTTTTAGCAATTTTATTGGCAAATTTATTTACCCTTTTGAAAATAGCTTTCAGGATTTTATCTGACTTAGGAAAGGTACTTACAGTTTTTAATCAATTGATTTTTGTGACAGCTTCTGCTTGCTTTGTGAAACATAGTGTGCATGGTTTCCAGTGTGACTGTGTGTGGCAGCTGTCTGTGCCTTTGTCCTGTGTGATTAGTCATCTAGTCTCCCATGGATGGAAGCATTTGGTGGGTATGTGAAGTGGGGAGAGAGAAGAAAGCACGTTCAAATGCCTGTAATGAGAAGAACTTTTTCTTAGCTAGAGTCCACAGTTAGAATAAAACGCCTCTGTGCCACCATGCTGTACTTCTGTAATACTGTCACTACTGTATATACGCAGGGATTTGCTGTCTGATTTGGTGCTAAGATTTGCATGTCTGCTTCCCATATTGATTTCACTAAACCCATCAGACTTTCTGATTCTCTACTTTTCTACTTTAGATAGCAGTGGCTTTTACAAGTAAGGAGATTTGTTTCTATGACCTGCTGTCCAAAGAAGAATTTCCTTGTCAGTATAAACTCCAAGGCCTGAAAGGAACACCACTTTGCATGGATTATTGGTATGACCCTCTTGATGCCAATGAATCAATCCTTTCTTTTGGGGATATAACTGGAAAGGTAAGTGAAGGAAGGAAAGATTGAATACTATGATTTAACCATCAAACTGCAGCTCAGTATAGAACTAGAATGCAATGAGCATGACCACTTAACTGAACTATATTATAGATTATAAGGCCACACAAGATGGACATAGAAAAGATGGATTTGGTCACATTTCCTTTTTCCGCTTATGAAAACCAATATTCATTGTGGTTTTCTTGTCTATGTATAGTCTCATTTTCCTTATTCAGAAATAAAATTGCTAACTTTTTTCATTATAGGATGCTTACTCTATTAGATCCCAATGTTAAAAAGCATCAAATAATAAATGTCTGAAGTTATAACTTTCAAATTAATTATTCTGATTTTCATTCAAAAGGTCTCAGGCTTCTCTGTAATAGCCTTTTGCGAAGTGGCTATTTCCTGTGTCATGTAACAAAGGGACGGGCATTAGAGAGGGCTGCATGAAAACCCAGACATTGGATACAATGATTTCTGTCTTCCTATCAAATTCCACCTGACCTCTGAAAAATTATTACTTACTGAGTGACCCTAGAGTATGCCTGTGAACTCTGAAGTAGTCTAATTTGAACAGTTTTCTTTCATAACTGTGAAAGCTTTTCACTCTTACTGTTTTTAATGGCATGTATATCATAAAAGCAAAAAATATACTGCTCTTGGTAATTGCTTTACAAACCTTATAGTTCTGTCTTTTAATATAACTGCTGGCATCCTTTAAATAAGATTGAAAAAATTTTTATTAATTCAATGTCTATTCCTTGTTAATCTTAAAGAACATAGGATGTTTTTTACAACAGTTATCCTGTCCATGTTCACCTTCCTTTCAATGTCTCTCTGAAGGTTCAAGCACTTGCTTTCACTGCAGCCTTGATTTCCCTGTTTGAACGTCCGGTGTGTGCACATGAAGACGCAGAAGCCACTGTGACCATTAACTGGGCAGAACTGCTCTCTGGATCTCAGAAGTGTTGTTACATATTAGAGCATAAGCTTCATCATGGAGATTGGGTCAGGCAAGGTACTGAATTGGAACAGAAATGAGAGAAATGGTCACCTTTGACTTCTACATTTATATTCCTTGAGGAAAATGTTTTACACAAAATGTTCAAGTCTAGAAACCAATAATTGGTTCTCTGGAGGTTTTAGCCTGGACTCTCTGCTATCCCCAGAACACTAGCAGGAATTCTTTCTTTCTTTTCTTTCCTTCTATAATTTATGCCTCATACAATTAATTCAGATGAACTGTGCACTCAAGAAATCTCAAGAGAAGGGAGAAAGTTTTTACAGATTCCATTTAACTTCAACCCAACTCTGATCCTAAGTAATCTCATTGAGTCATGTTTGAGGCTGCTTAATAAAATAATTTAACAAGGTCCCTTAAAATCACTCCTTTGTTTTCTTCATGTTCTCATAGAAAGTGTATTAGTTTGATGGCCTTTAAAACAAAATATTCTTAATTTTCTTTTCTCTTTTTTGACATGATGACTGAGTTCCTCTGATATAATGTAGTTGAGTAGCAGTTCTGTGTGATAGTATTATGTTGTAAGACAGCATGTATAGAAAGCCAGAACTTTCTTGAAACCTAGTTGTCAATGAGTTTATTATATTATTATTATATGTTTTTCATTATATGCCTAATTTTCATTAAATTTGCCTCTGATGGCTTAAGATCCAAATGTGCAATACATGTTCTAATACCTCTTTTGGTCCAGACACTAAAGACTATGATAATTTTCTCACTTCTAAATTGCTACATTAAATAATGCCCACTGAAATGAACAATCTAATTGACTTACATCATAGGTATAGTCCTAACATACTTTGAAGAAGAGACAGTCAGAATGGACCCAGTTGTTGACTTTTATGGTAGTTTTACCTTTTTGGGGTTTTTAGGAGGTTGGGACTAATTCTACTTTGCATGGATTATTGGTATGACCCTCTTGATGCCAATGAATCAATCCTTTCTTTTGTTTTTTTTCAATATGAATCATACCATGTGTTTGGTACTTTCTATCCATCCTTTAATTCTGGCATGATATTAGCTGTGGGAAAAACAAAAGGTGATTTTTTTGGTCAGTGTATGTGACAGACACAAAATTATATGTTATGTTTTCACAACATGGAAACACGAATCACAGCACTAGGATCTAAAGAGAGCTTTTGCAGGTTCTTCCAAACAAGTATGGTATTTTAATGTATAAACCAAAGACTAGATAGGATGTAGTAATAAAATGATAGTTCTTGAAGTCTTCTTGAAGTAGTTTTCCTGATGTTTAGTGTATTGTTTGAATTCTGTGACCTTAATTTGATGTGGATAAATACAGAGAACTGCCAAATAGAATCCTGCTTTTGAAAAGGTTGGAAATATGTATAGTAAGTAAGGTTTTAAAACCGAGAATGTTTTTTTTCTGAATGTGAATAATGTATAAATACTCTTTTCAGACTCAGGGAAAGAATAACAAGTTCTCACATTAGATCCTATCACAATTTCATTTAAATAAAAAACCAGCCCTACTGGTAGAGTCACCTGCTGAGGAACACTTGTCTGTTAAGTTGTAGGACAAGCATCTGTCTCTAGATCAGTGTGAATTCATTGCTCATTGTGTTTCCAACATACCATTTTCTTGTTTGTGGTTCCCTCATCTACTGACGAGATAGCATGGGAACTAAATTTAGTATTGGCAGTAGAGATTCACTTCTGTGACCTAAGGAATCTGACTTTGGAGTCTGGCCTCTAGAATAGTGCAAGTAGAAACTGGTTACAGAGAAGTTTTATATATAAAAAAAATTAGGACTCTTTGCTATTTTAATTTGCATTATAGGTTTCTTAGGCCTTTGAATCAAACTCATGTAATCAATTGGATAATATTGGAAAGAATGGTTGAAAAATTTACTTTAGTCAGTTTATTTAAATTGTAGACTTGATGTGTCAATCAATCAACAATTATTATGTGCTTTAAAATTGCCTGAAGCATTGGAGACTGTAGAAGAAAGATTAATTATAGGCTTAACCCTCAAGACACTTAATATATGAAAAATAATTAAAGATTAATGTAAAATAGTTTATTAGAACATTGTATTGACACTGAAAGTTAACTACTAAACCGTTTACATGAGATTTGGACTTCTAGCATAATTCTTAAGCAGGAAAAGCCATGAGAGAAAGCTTTCAAGGTGGGGTAGTAGTTGATGGATAGGTGGAGGGAAAAAGAGAGCATGGTAAACATGAGTAAATGTAGATAAGCAGGTGTAACAATGATGGAGGGAGACATAGACATGAATAGATTAGACACTGAATATTGAGGAAATAAAAGTGAATAGGCCTTACAGAGACATATGTTGAAAGGTCTTGTCAACCAGGCCAAGTTCACATTTGATAGAAATGAAAGAAGAAGCACTGAAGGTTATTTATTTATTTATTTATAAGATATCATTGATGTACACTCTTATGAAAGTTTCATGTGAAAAACATGGTTACTACATTCACCCATATTATCAAGTCCCCCCATACCCCATTGAAGTCACTTTTCACCAGCATAGTAAGATGCCACAGAGTCACTACTTGTCTTCTGTGTGCTACACTGTCTTCCCCTTGACCCCCATGCACCACACCATGTGTGCCAATCTTAATGCCCCTCAATCCCCTCCTCCCTCCCCGCCCACCCTCCCCCACCCCTCCCCTTTGGTAACCACTAGTCCCTTCTTGGAGTCTGTGAGTCTGCTGCTGTTTTGTTCCTTCAGTTTTGTTTCATTGTTAGACTCCACAAATGAGGGAAATCACTTGGTACTACTTGTCTTTCTCTGCTTGACTTATTTCACTGAGCATAATACCCTCTAGCTCCATCCGGGTTGTTGCAAATGGTAGGATTTGTTTTCTTCTCATGGCTGAATAATATTCCATTGTGTATATGTACCACATCTTCTTTATCCATTCATCTACTGATGGACACTTAGGTTGCTTTCATATCTTGGCTATTGTAAATAGTAATGCAGTAAACATAGGGGTGCATCTGTCTTTTTGAATTTGAGATCTTGTTTTCTTTGGGTAAATTCCTAGGAGTGGAGCACTGAAGGTTTTTGAAGAAACTTGGACAGTCCTTACGCAGACAGCATTTAAGAAAAGTTTATTTGGTAGTTTGTCCAGCATAGGTTGGAGGACAAAGAAAGAAATTGCAATTAGACTGAAGAGTTAGAAGGCTTTTGATCATGAGAAAATGGAAATGATAAAGCAAAGAGAAATCAGCAACTCTCTGACACAAGACTCTTTAGGACTTTAGCCCTGAAAATGTGGAATAATGAGCCATTTTAGAATGTCCTACAAAGACTTCAGTTTCCAGGTGGGAAATGTTCTGTTTGCAGATCACAGATGCTCTCCTGGGCCCAGTGCTGACTCTTCCCAGCTTGCCTCATCAATGTTGATTACTCCCGAAGGATTCTTTACCCTGAGGTACTCCAGATCCTGCCACTTAAGAAGAGTCTTTCTGGCAATATTGTCCCTGAAACTTCCCTTACCTTTGCCAAGCTCCTTATTTTGCCTCTGCATCATCTAATTTTGATGGACTCCTCCTTGCATGATTTATAGTATTCTCCATTTTGGCTTTGCTCCTGGGTTTTTCTTTAAAATCTTGCTTTCAGATACTGCTTAATCTGTGAACCAATCCTAAAGATTTCTAAACCTACACCACAATTTTGGTCCTGCCTGTCAGAACCTTTCCAATCCCAGGAGGAAATTTGGTTGCCTCCCATGTAAATCACATTTATACAAATACGGAAAATTAAAACAATTTTCTTAGGAGAGGCAATATGTCCTTTATTCTTCTTAGTGTCTACTCCAACAGTAGAATGTTTTGTCAGATTTTCTCTTTCTCATTGATTTTAAGCAATTCGATTGGTATGTACCTCAGTTTTCTTTGTGTGTGTGTATGTGTTTATGCTGCTTGGAATTCATTGAAATTCTTGGGTATGTGGATTTAACAGTTTTCATTAAATTTGGAAATTTTTCTATTGTTATTTTATCCAAAGTGTTCTGCTTTACCTCTTTTTTTTTTTTCTGGGACTCCACAGTTACGTGTGTGTTAGATACTGTGTGCTTGATATTGCTCTGCACGTTAAGGAGGTTTTATTCACTTTAATTCAGTATTTTAAAAAAATATGACTATGTTTCAGTTTAGTTAGATTCCATTTTTGTGTCTTTAAGTTCCTGGTCTTTTCCTCTGAGATACTGCACTGAAGTTTCAAAGGATGGGGCTGCCTGTTTTGGTGGCCAGTCTGCCCAGTGTGATGCCTCAGGGGTGAGGGCCTTACAGAGCTCTGTGGTGTGGGCTGTATCCAGTGGGGCAAAGATATTGGTGGGGCCTCTTCAGAGAGCTGCAGCACGGGGGCAGAGGGCGCTGCCACAGCACGGACACAACCCACTGAGCCAGGGGTAACAGGCCATGCCAGTTGGTTTGGAAAGCAGGACATCAAACAGAAGAGGATCATTCTTGAGCTTTCACTTTAGTGAGTTTTCCCTATTAGGTTTTGTGTTGACGTAGTCCTACTGCCCCTTTCTTCCTTCCTGTTTCTCTCTTTTGGAATGGGAAAGCCCTTCTTAGGTCTGTCCCACCATTGTATTTTGGATGCACAGTGATTTGTTTGGTTTCACAAATTCACAGCACAGAGAGGACTTTGTCTCAGGATGAATTACATCCAGAGTCTTACCCATAGCTGATTTAGATGATATTTAGATGAAACTTTGAACTTAGACTTTAGGGTTGATGCTGGAATGAGTTAAGACTTTGGGGACTTTTGAAATGTATTTTGGGTATTTTGCATTTGAGAGGACATGAATTTGAAGGGGCAGGTGCAGAAAGTTATGGATTGGGTGTTTGTATGTCTACCAAATTCATATGTTGTAATCCTTACCCCTCAATGAGGTCATGCTTTTGGGAGGTGGTTAGGTTCTGAGAGTATATGTCTCATCAGTGGGATTTGTGCTTTTATAAAAGAGACCCAGGTGAGAACACAGCAAGAAGTAGGCCATCTGTGGCCAGGAGGAGGGCCCTTCTCATATGCTGAATCTGTCAGTGCCATCAGCTTGGATTTCCCAGCCTCTAAAACTGCGAAAAATAAATGTTTGTTTTTTAAGCTACCCATCCTGTGTATTTCATTATAGTGGCCTGAACAGATGGAGATGTTGGGTAAATGTTATTGTAAAGTATTTCAAAAGAAAGATACCAAAAAAAATCTTGCTATTTGTAGTTTTTCTTCTTTGAAAAGTAGGCATTATTTATGTTTAAAAGAAAGTGAGAAAAATATTTTTATAGATAATGTATAGTCTAATACTATGCGAATGAATGTTGAGGAAAAAAAGTAGAGGAGAAGGTAATGCAAAAAGGAGAGAGTAGAGAATAGAAAGGTGAAGTCTCTGTCTAAGATTCTCTCTTATTTCAAATGTTATATTTGAAGCTCACAGGTACCTCTGAAAGGAGGACCTACTTAGTCCTAACTGATGAATGAATGCCTTTCCCAGATTTAGCAATGGAGATGCAGAAGCTTAAACACAAGATTTTTTTGTTGGTTTGCAGCTCAGTTATTTTCACCCAAGAAGAAGGGAGGAAACGCTGAAATGAGGAGGAGGAGGAAGGCAGGCTGGAGTCAAACATAGGACAGTGGACTCAGTAATGATATGTTCCTTGGTCTGCAACACTTACTCTCTCAGGGTCAAGCACCCAAAGGTTGCTTTGATTTGATGCTCTTTTTACCCCAGCAATATGCGTTGATGTTCTCAGATCTTCTCAGAAAATATTTTTGCTAATTTTCTTCTCAGTGTGAGAAAGGAATATACAATTGAGGAAATAAAGAAACACATGAACAAGTATGGTAATACTGCTTCACTGAAGCTAAGGATAGAGTATAAAATTGTAATATTAAAGGAAAAACAGTTTGGGACCAAAGAGTATTTTAGCTTACCTCTTTAAGGTAAGGTTCATATTTCTTATTTAAGACTTGGAAGGAGAAATGTTTTCATCTTGTCCAAGTCGTTCTATGTTATATTTTAATGGAAAGAAAAATAATTACATTCTGAAGTGCATAGAGTAAGTATGGAGATTTTGGGCAAGAGTGGCAAAATACAAATGTTTCAAATCTCAGAGAACTTCCCTTTTTGTGGCCCCCAATAAATGCTTTCTCACAAAGACAATATTACTGAAAGTCTTGGAAACTGTAGCCTAAAAGAGCAGTTTTGGAAGAGTAAACACTAAATAGCCAAACACAAAAATCATTGATTTTTTTTTTAATTTGAAAGGTATTTTGTCCCCTTTGACCATGTCCAGGAGAAGGGACAAAGCATTTTGAACTGACATACAGTATCACTAATTGCTGAGCTAATTAACAGAGCTGTGGCAGAGAACTTAGAATACAGACACCAAGTTACATTTCCTTAGAGGGAACTTGATAATTGTTAGGGATTAAGTTTGGTGTCCTGCTTGTGTCTTGTTCTACCTCTCTGCATCTAAATCGGTTCAGACAAAAAGATGGTGCACCACCAAGTGAATGAAAACAGGATGCCCTTCCTTGCTAGTCCCCTCGTTGTGTTTAGGTTTGAAGAAAGAGTCTCTTCCTGCAGCTTATTTGATAGCACAGTGGAAGGTAAGACCCATTTGTATCATGAAAATAGATCTAATCAGTATTTTGAAAAATTATTAATTAAATTAATTGCATTATTATTTTTTAATGTGCCTAGCAGTGAGCAATTAGATGCATTTTGATTTTTAAAAATGAAACGGAAACGGTTTTTCTTTCCATCTTTCTTCTTTGAAATAGTAGTTGCTCAGAATATAGAGATCCCTGTGGTGGTCTCAGACAATGTGACTACAACCTCAAAATAAGAAATGCAGCTGAAAATCAACTCCCTCAAATAAGAAAGCATCAAAGAAAGTTCAGGGTAGAGTGCTTTCCTGAGTCACACAGCTGTTAAAGTAAAAGACTGGAAAATGATAAGAAATCCTAGTTAGAAATACCCCAATTTTCTAACCCTGCTACAACTCCTTTCTGTTGGCAAATGATTACTCTAGTTTATTCTAAGGCATGCAATAGTATTACTTAGTTTTTAGGTATCACTTTTCATTTTCAAGTCGCTTTCTCACGTTAACTAATTGGTGTTGCACAGGCTCGATTAATTGATAGCACAGTCGAGGACAAGGATGGATGGCAGTTTCCTTTAATGCCTTTTTATGACTTAGTGGCAAGAGAGTGGAAGAGTTGCAAGTGAGCATCTTAATGCACAGACATGATTAAGTTGTCTTTTCTCCCTCAAAATATTATCTAAAGGTAATAAAAAATATATTTTCCTCTACCAATCCCCAAACTCACTGAGAATATGATTACATTTTATCAGCTCATCCCATTCCCTAACTTGATATTTAAAATTTTTTTCATCATAACCTATTATCATCTCCTTTCCTGCCTTTAAGAAGGTGGGAAAACATCTTTATTTATCAGCTAATTTGATTTTAAAGAAATGGCTTTGCTCTCAATTTTTAGTCAGTATTCTCTGGAGCTCTGGCATTCTCCACCTTAATCAGAAACAAGTTATATCTGGGTTTAGGAATAAAGTGTGAATTGTTGAGTCTCCAATATGTAACACGACAGGCCCTTGAATGCTACTCGGTAACCCGCAGATTCAAATCTTACAGCAATACTTTGAATACCAGAGCAAAATGTGCTTCTTGATATATCTTTCTTCATAAACTCAAAATTAAAGATGATACTTGGATATAATGTGGGAACATAAGACAAACTAATTTTCTGGGTAGACAATTGTATTTGATTTGGATTGTGCTGTTATGGTATTATGGAATATCCAAGATTTGAAGATAAAGTTATACTGTTTGTTGTATACTTTAGATCATGCAATATTGCTTCACTGAGTTGAGTTAGAATTTTAGTTGAAACGTAGCATTTTCTGTAAACAAGGGAATGTTTTCAGCAAGGTTGCTTCCTAACAAGAACAATTTTCATCCGAATGTGTACTGTTGGCATTCCTGTAAAGCAGCAGCAGTAATCCAGGCCATCGTCAGGGACTGTTATGCCTAGTGAGGCTCGAAGGACTCAGCTTCATAAGAACCGATCATTTCTTGGGTCCCTCCTTCCCTCCTTCCCCCTTCCTTCCTTCCTTTTCTCCCTTTCTGCTCTTTTTATCTCCGTCTCTATTTTTTTTTAGAAGGAAAGACAGTAGATGAGAGAAAAGGATGGAGAGAGAATGAAACAGAGGAATACTGCTCCTCAGGGGCTAAGTGGCATAGAAAAGTGAGATAGGGAAAGGGAAGATTCAAGGTGAAGTGGGGTCTTGGTCTGGGACTGAGAGGATGGCTACTTAGATGTAGTTGTCAATAGACAGAACCTCAGTTCGGGACCTGGCAGGCTCACGGGCAGTGGGACTTAGTAGAAAAGGCAGTGATTGGTTTCATAAGTGCAGGAATGCTAGTAACCCATTGGGAATTGTCATTCAACAGTGTCACCTCTTGGTTCTATGTAATAAGCAGATCAGAAATATTTCCAAGAGCCATTTTATTGAAGCTATACAAAGTTACAACATCCCCCTTTGTGTGAGGCACCCCTTAAGGTCAAATCAGAAATCCTTCAACTCTGGGACACAGATCATTGAGCAAACTGCTAAGAGAACTTCCACCTAACCGTGGGTATAGTGGCTTAAAAGTTGGTGGAAGAGCAGCTGTGGCTATTGGCCTTTTGGCCCATGTGAGTCTGACAGGAGTGGGAAGGTCCTCCTGACAAAAGGCAGAATCATTTTCCTTGCACGGGAAATGGGATTTTGCTCAACAACATCTGCTGTAGGGTCATCGGAAATGCAGGAACAGCCTTTTGCCCAAGTCTCTAGCTGTGTTTTGTGAATCTTGGCAGGGTATTGAATCCCGGTCATCCTACTCTCAAACATTCTAGACCAGTAGTAATTTAAATAAACCATAATTTATGCACAGGCTGGACTTCTGAAAGCACCAAATGACTGCTAAGCTCTTGTCTGCCTGTTTCAGTTCCCAGGAGGAAAAACCCAAAATTTGGCCAATTACTCATTTTACATCTCCAGAAACCCATATGATTATTGTGATCAATATTCTTTCCTGCCATGTGTTCCAATCAAAAACACTTTTTTCAAGGTATTCTTAGATTGGGTAAAAAGTTCAAATGCAGATTTTGCTGTAACATCTCTCTGTAAGTTCTTTAGTAGGAGGTGGGAGAAGGTATCAATGAGGAATTTTCTGTGTCAGGTTGTGTCATCATAATCTGAGTTTAATTTTCAACTTCATATATTTCAACAGTCAATTCTGCTCATTTCTTTTGAGAAATCAACTAATGATCATTTTCCTTTTTTTATCAGTTACTTACAATGCATCTTTAGATGCTATCATTTCCAGTACAACCAGCAATACAAATACTATGGTACTAGCATGGAGAGAGAAATCAAAAAAGCATCTTAAAGTGACATCCTTCAACATTGCCCAGGGCATTCATGCTTTTGATTACCACTCTCGGCTCAATTTAATTGGTATGTAAAATAAATCATGGTAACTATGAGGGCCTCATCAACAGTCTGGGATGCATATTTGTATGCATGGAGCCTCTCCACCTTGTTGCTTTATGGCCAGGGAGACCAACTTGAGCAGCTCATATTTTATTGCCTGAGAATGTCTAATAATGATGCATTATGATGGGCAATGTATATGAACTACATAGGAGTGAAACTATGAGGAAGTGCCCCAATGCTTTAATTAGTGTTTTTATTAGAATTGGTGGGAGATGTAAAATGACATAGAGAAATAAGACAGTTTGTGCAGCGTCTGCTATTCTGCCATCTTTGTAATTCAAATACATCATTTTCCCTGCTACCACATACACATGTGTGCATATGCACACACACATACACCCACATGCAAACACACAATATCTGCGAATCATAGAACATTTTCACCTTTCAAGTACAACCTCTAATGCTTTTTGAAAAATTTCAGATTATCCTAAACTAAAGCTTTAGTTTGCTATATGAGAGTTCTTTTTTTTTATATAAAAGAGTACATTTTACCTGAGGATATAAACCATAAATATTTTCAGGCATTAACTATTTAAATAAAATATTTAGACATTTTGAAAGCTGATAATTTGATATGTATGATATTAATTCAGGTGTTGTAAAAAACGATATCATTAAAAAATTGACAGTGTTGTTACAGAAAATGAACATACATGGTGGAGTGGGTCATATTAATCTTCATTCAATAATTATCCTTTATAGAAATAGTATTGATATCAACGAGAGGGCTGAGTCTCTGAAATCCCTAACAAAGTTGCTACTCATGGTAAAAGATAATTTGACTATGAATCTAGGAATACGGCAACATCAAACTTTCAAGGAATTTTGTAGATTTATTAGAGGAGACTGAGAGGTTAGCAAATTGACTTTGGGACTCATTATCAACCATTTCATAGATTCATTGATTACTTATTTCAACACCATTATGCTGACCACTAATTTGTGCCTGGCAGAGTGCTGGAAAAACAAGGATATGTAAACATGGCCCCAGAGTCAGCCCCAAAGAAGGGAGTGGTGAAGAGGGCTCTACTGAGTTTCCACAGTGCTAAAGAAGCACTGTGCCCTCTGCTCTTGATGTGCCCCCTGGACCCAACCAATTCATGTGCAAGATACCTTATTCTTTCAATAGAGCAGGTCAACTTACTGCTTGCTTGCTTGCAAATATACTAGATGGTATACACGAAAGTGAAAATCATTTGTTTCCTTATACTTTTTCATTAATTTGGAAACAAACTTTAAATGTTATTTTATTTCTTTCTTGCTCCTGGGATAACTTTCACATGGTCTACATTCCTAGGCTGTTTTGGCTGGAGAGGCGAAATATCAGGACTGGGTAGCAGGTCTTTGTGCCCCCCTGGTTGGGCTGCCGGTTGCCTCCTAGATGGGACTGTATTGTCCTTTCACCTCAGGCATACTCCTTCCAGTGACAGAACTCATGTCCTATCACCCTGGGCAATGAGAAGCTTCTCCTCCTTCAAGGAAGGGTACTTTAGTGCTTAGAAGGCATTTATCAGCCTATAGATATGTGATATACTCATTTAAAAAAAATGCTATGTGTTATTCATGTTATGAAAAACATCATTTTCTTTCTGATTTCTAATTAGCAACTGCTGGCATTAACAATAAAGTTTGCCTTTGGAACCCCTATGTTGTCTCTAAGCCAGTTGGTGTCCTTTGGGGTCACTCAGCCAGTGTAATAGCTGTCCAATTCTTTGCTGCAAGAAAACAACTTTTCAGCTTCTCCAGTGATAAAGTAAGTGACATTGTGCATTTATTTATTTAATTTATTTAATTCTGCTTCCCCAGTCCCTACCCAAATCTATCTTTGGTCCTCAATTCTTCTAAGAGATGGCATGGATTTTAAAAATATACTGACTAATTACAATGTCTTTGGAATTCGATATTTGGAAATGATATTGAATAGCAACTTAAGAATAGTCCTGGACAACTGGACGAAGTTTTTTATTAAATTTTTTAAAACCATCTACTCATAGATTTAATTTTATTGGGCACTCAATAGGTCACATCTTGAAATTTCCCAAAGTTCTCACTAATTCAATAGAAAAAAACTGAAACGGGATGAGGAAATGCTGTTTTGGTAAATCACAATTGACATAGACAATTAGCTTTTGTTATTGTAATACTGAAGAGAGTAAGTTGGAAATCAAAGTTAATATAAAGAATTTCAAATAGATTAAGAACATCTCAAGTATATCAGTCTGTTTTTGTATGATGATATTATTGGGATACGTTAAATACAGTGGAAAAAAACGTAACACTAGAACCACACAGTACAGGTTGAATCCTGACCGATCATTTACTACTTATATTCTTTTAGGAAAAATTTCTTAATCTCTAGTAATCTTGTCATTGCCTTAGTGAAACTTCCACCTTATATAATACCTGATTTACTGATCCAATTAACATGTGACAGATTTCTAGACACTTGGTTGTGAAGAGAAGGGGAGGGCAATAGACTTATTGGGGCAGCCTGTTGAGACTCTCAGTGAATCTTGCTTATTATTTTGTTCTAAAGTGATATGTGTATAAGTAAAATTAAATAGAAATTCATATTCAACTCTTTAGCTTCACCCCATCTGTAAATTCGGCCAAACTTGCTTACTTTATTGTATTATCATGTAAATCTCCCTTTCCTTTAAACTTCACCAATCAACTACCAATTCTGGATTCTACCATCAAAATGCAATTACCAGCTTCACCTCTTCTTCTTGGCTGTCACTGTTCTGATTCAAAATCTCATCTTCTGTTGCCCAAAATATTGCAAAGGTTTCCTGGCTTGTCTCCCTACTTTCACACTGGTCTGACTCCACCCTCCACTGCTAATTAAGTGGTTTGTAGGAAAAAATGTTCAATATATCATCTTGCACTTAGTCAAAATATCAAGTCTTAAATTCCCACGTATTTATACAAAGCCCTTCCCCTGTCTCCCCATCCCACTCCACTTCCTGCTTTTTCTTCCATCCATTTAGCGCTCAGGCCTCCTCAGACCTTCAGCTGTCCTGCCTGTGCTGCCCGTGACTCTGCAGCATGCTCTCCTTCTGCCTTCAGTTCCCTTTCCTGCATGATCAATTGGCAAATGCCTAATTATCCTCAACATTTCAGACTTTTTGGAGTCTTTCATGCAGACCTGGGTGTTTCTTTCTCTGCACTCCTGCTGCACCTGTGTCTCTCATTAGAGCATGAATCCTGTTGAGCTAAAATTGTTAATGTGCTTCTTCAAGCAGTCTCCTTTCACCCCGTATACTTAGTATCCATCAAAGTGCTTGGCATCTTGTAATGTTTGTTCAATGATTATTTGTTAGCAATTTGAAGAGAAGACATATTATTGTGATTCTAAAGTACCGAAGAAACTCAGAATGAGACCTTTCTTGATGCCCAGGTCATATTTAGTTGTTCTATTTTTTGAGATCTTTTAGTGCTTTGTTCTAATTTTTATTATTGAATTTAAATAATCTCACTTGTATACTCAAGGGTTGTCTAGGTACATTGTATCTTACACTAGATTATGAGTGCTTAAAGGCAAAGATAATTTGTTGCATTTGTTTTTGTGTTTCCCAGGACCTAGCATATATTAATGTATCTGTTGAATGTGACGTATACAATAGTGTACTAAGAGGATGTACGTGAAGATTCATAACTATACGACTTTTGAATTGTGCCGTACACATAGCAGGTCCTCAATAAATCTTAGTTAAATGAATAAATCCTTATCAATCATAAATATGAAAGGAATAACAGGCATTTTATCATAGAATTTCCTGGAAGGTTTTAGAACTTTAAAAGCAAGTGAAAAAAGCGCCTTAGAGTCAAAATTGATTGTGTACAGCTATCATCAATGTTGATACTACCTGACCTCTTGTGAAGCCATTTTATCATTCTATTTTTGCTTTGACTTTTAAATCATTACATTATAATAAAGCTTGTCATACTGTCTTTCACATTAGTTTAAATCCACTTCACTATGATAAATGCATAATAACCTCAGTCTGTATGTCTTCACAACAGCAGGGCTTTCTGCTAACAGGTTAAACCTTTCCTTTATTGCCGTAAAATTTGTGATTGTACTGGGGTTAAGTTAGGGAACAGGGAGCATGTTTTAGTCAATGGGCTGCTAAATTAGGTGATTTTCACACCAAAACAACTTAGATCTAAATAATTTCCTCCAAAAATGATCCAAGACCAGTTCTTTTTTTGAAGATTGCTCTATTGCTACTTTCTAGTGATGATTAAACAATAAGTTTATCCCTATAGAATTTGGTATCATAACTAAACAATGGTTCAATTGCATTTTGCTTTGGACTACTAAACTGTCTCCTAAAATGGCAGTCACTGATGGCAAGGACTTGCTGAGAACCAGTAACTTGGTCGTTTGAGGAGGAATCACCACGGAAAGTAAAAAGATTTTCAAAACTTTGGGGAAATCTCTCTGCTGGGGTTGGCATTCCAACCAGGGAGCCTGATTCAGCTTGTCTGTTGCTCCTAACTCTTCTCTCCTGGGCTACTATAAGATCCATTTGTAATTTAATCCTTTGTTTGAGGTTCTGATTTTTCTTAGAGCCTGGTTCCAACATTGTAGACCCAGGATTGGTAAAGGAAACACAAAGTCAGACTTCTGTGTTGGTGACTACATCTTACCTGCTTGTCTTCCTTTCACTTCTGCACACCACCCCTCCACAACTTCCTTCTGTCCATCCAGAAACAAACCCAGTGTCATTTTGTCAAATAACACAAGTAAATGGAATCATGCCCTTAAGTAAAATTATAAATAACAAAACATACAGTACAGATAGTGAATATTCCTCTTGCTCACTTCCGCTTCCAATCAGTTTCTCTCCCAAAACATAGCTATTAACATTTGATGTGTAACTTCTCATGTTTTTATTAAATACTTAATATATTACATATTATGTTATAATAATATGTAGGATTATATTATTATATATGTCATCCTATGTGTATGTGCAAATACAAGGTAGTATTTATTCGTTTTTAAACGGTTCCACAGTAGGCATATTTTTCTGCAACTTGCTTTTCTTTAAACAGTATCTCCTGGAGACCTTTCTGTGTTAGTACATAGATCTGAATTTTTACCTTCTATTAGTAATTCATAGTATGAATGATCATAACTTAATTATTCAGTTACCTATTGATTATGAGAGATCTCATTTCAAATTTTTTCTGTTATAAACTAAGATACCACACACACACACACACACACACATCTTTAAGACTACAGTAGTTGATTTTTTTGTGAAAAGTTCCTGGAGTTAAGTTCCCAGAGGTGATCCTACTGAGTCAACAGGGATGCTCTTTATAAAGGATTTTTGTAAATGTTGTTGTAGAGCCAGAAACATTGTACAATTGGTACACTCATTAGAGGTGTACAGAGATGCCTGTTTTCCCACACTTTGGTCAATAATGGATACTATAATGTGTTCAACGTTTTTTGTGAATCTATGGTCAAAAATTAGAATGAATTTATTTTTCAAATTTCTTGATCATTTGTATTTCTTGTGTATGCATTATCCAATTATGCCTTTTAACTGATTGACTGGACTGTCTTTTACTTATTGATATGTAGTAGTGTGAGAAGTACTTTGTCCTTTTCAACATATGGTACAAATATTTTACCTCTTTCAGCCATGTATCTTTTATTTTTCTTATTCAAAAGTTTTTAATTTTTAAGAAGTTGAGCTTAAAATTATTTTCTATATGGCTTTGGATTTTGTATCTAGCTTAGGAATGTTTTCTAAAATTTTTTATTAAGGTATTATTGATATATACTCTTAAAAAGGTTTCACATGAAAAAGCGTGGTTACTATATTTACCCATATTATCAAGTCCCCACCCATACCCCAATGCAGTAACTGTCCATCAGTGTAGTAAGATGCCACAGATTCACTATTTGCCTTCTCTATGCTACACTGTTTTCCCCGTGATCCCCCACACCATGTGGACTAGACGTAATACCCCTCAATCCCATTTCCCTCCCTCCCGACCCACCCTTCCACACCCCTCCCCTTTGGTAACCACTAGTCTCTTCTTGGAGTCTGTGAGTCTGCTGCTATTTTGTTCCTTCAGTTTTGTTTCATTGTTATACTCCGCAGATGAGGGAAATCATTTGGCACTTGTCTTTCTCCACCTGGCTTATTTCACGGAGCATAATATCCTCTGGCTCCATCCATGTTGTTGCAAATGGTAGGATTTGTTTCTTTCTCATGGCTGAATAGTATTCCATTGTGTATATGTACCACACCTTTCTAATCCATTCACCTACTGATGGACACTTAGGTTGCTTCCATATCTTGGCTATTGTAAAAAGTGCTGTGATAAACATATGGGTGCATATGTCTTTTTGAATCTGAGAAGTTGTATTCTTTGGGTAAATTCCAAGGAGTGGGAATCCTGGATCACATGGTATTTCTATTTTTAGGTTTTTGAGGAACCTCCATATTGCTTTCCACATAGTTGTACTAGCTTACAGTCCCAGCAGCAGTGTAGGAGGTTCCCCTTTCTCCACATCCTCACCAGCAGTTTTTGTTCTTAGTCTTTTCAATGCTGACCATCGTAACTGGTGTGAAGTGATATCTCATGGTGGTTTTTGTAAGATGAATTCTAGCCAAAATAAGCAGGTGATGAGAGGCAATAAAGGACCAGGCAGTTTATTTGAGTGCAATTCCTGGGTGATGTTCCCCGGTCTGGGTATTACAGGCCAGGGAAGTCACACCCAGT